CTTTTAGTAATTTGAGTCTTTTTATCCTCTTCATTCTAGTTAAACATTCATTTTGTTCATCTCTTCAAAGAACCAACTTTTAGTTTCTCTAATTTTTTGTTTTCTATTTTATGTAATTTTTTTCTGCTCCAATCTTTATTATTTCCTTCTTCTCACTTACTTTGATTTAATTTGCTCTTCTTTTTTTAAAAAAAATTTATTGGAGTATACTTGATTTACAATGTAGTGTTAGTTTCTGCTGTACAACAAAGTGAGTCAGTTATACATATACATATATCCACTCTTTATTAGATTCTATTCCCATATAGGTCATTACAGACTACTGAGTAGAGTTCCCTGTGCTATAGAGTAGGTTTTTTTAATCAGTTATCTATTTTATATAAAGTAGTGTGTATATCTCAATACCAATCTCCCAATTTATCCCTCCCAACTCCCACATTCATAACCATAAGTTTGTTTTCTACAGTCTGTGACTCAATTTCTGTTTTGTAAATAGGTTCATTTGTACCATTTTTTTAGATTCTACATATAAGAAATATCATATTATATTTGTCTTTCTCTCTTTCACTTACTTCACTCAGTATTACAATCACTAGGTCCATCAATGTCACTGTAAATGGCATTATTTCATTCCATTTTATGCCTGAATAATATTCCATTGTATATATGTACCATGTCTGCTTTATCCGTTCCTCTGTCAATGGACATTTAGCTTGCTTCTATGTCTTGGCTATTGTAAATAGTGCTGCAATGGACATTATGGTGCATGTATCCTTTCAAATTATGGTTTTCTCCAGATATGTACCCAAGAATTGCTGAATCATATGGTAGCTCTCTATTTAGTTTTTTAAGAAATCTCCATACTGTTCCCCATAGTGGCTGTACCAATTTACATTCCCACCAACAGTGGAGGAGGGTTCCCTTTTCTCCACATGCTCTGCAGCATTTATTGTTTGCAGAGTTTTTGATGCTGGCCATTCTAACCAGTGTGAGGTGATACCTCATTGTGGTTTCAATTTGAATTTCTCTAATAATTAGTGAACTTGACTGAGCATGTTTCATGTGACTCTTGGCCATCTGATTTTCTTCTTTGGAGAAATGTCTGTTTAGATCTTCTGCCCATTTTTTCATTGGGTTGTTAGTTTTTTTTTGATATTGAGCTGAATGAGCTGCTTGTATATTTTGGAGATTAACCCTTTGTCAGTTGCTTCATTTGCAAATATTTTATCCCATTCTGAGGGTTGTATTTTCATCTTGTTTATGGTTTCTGTTGCTGTGCAAAAGCTCCTAAGTTTTATTAGGTCCCATTTGTTTATTTTTGTTTTTGTTTCCATTACTCTAGGAGGTGGGTCAAAAAGGATCTTGCTGTGATT